TAGAAATTAAATTTATATTAAAAATATTATTTTAATAATATTATTATTTATTACATCATCCGATTCAATCTCAATCGAACTGATTGAATCATGAACCTCTCATTTTTCTAATTCATTGTCCAATCCGATTTTCACTATCTTAATAGATGATATAATTGATAGACCCCTTTCTGAAAGGGAAATTTCCCTCCTCTCCATTAACTATATCATCTCCCACTTGAATCATGATAGGGGATTCGATCAGAACATTACAAGAATTTCGACTGTTTCAGCCAAAAGTGAATGTGGAAAATGGATTCATAATGCTTAAAAGTTGCAACTCTTCAGCTGGTTGGCTTTGGCAATGGCGTTGAGAAAACTGTTCCGACTCTTTTCGCCGGCTCGGATTTGGGTTTTTCCTTCATCCTTTCTGGGCAGCGACATCCTGCGCCTGTGTCGAGCATCTTCTTCAGCATGACCCGACGTGCCTATTGATGCAACCATGTAGTCTCAGGCCTTGGCTTCCTGAGCTTTTTCTCTGGTGCCCTAGAGTTTGTCTTTGTAAGAGACCGATTTCTCCTCCTCTAATTCTTCTGCCATTCAATGCTCTCTGCCGTTCACATCGCTTCGTGAATTTCTTACAGTCTTGCATTTTCCCTGTGGCTAACTTTTATAGCACGGCTGGCTGGTCTGGGAACTCCTGATTTTTGTTGCTTCATGGCTTCGGTTTTTCGATGTCTGCAGCTAGGGATGCTGCAGTTTTGATTTTGATTTTCGCTCCTTGATGAAACTAGAAGGAATATATTTTAGATACTACACTAATTAATGGCTATTTGGAATAAAATTGGTCACTAAGGAGTAGGGCTTTAACCGAGTCAAGCCGACTCGCGAGCCGGCTCGGACTCGACTCGGTTACAGGCTTGACGAGTCTAGCTTATCGACCTCGCGAGTTTGGGTGGGCACGAGAACGAATCGAAGGCCGGGCGAAAAACCAAAACAACATTGCTCGACGGCGGAACTGGGGTTGACAGTGGATGCGACAATGAAGATCGTGAGCTGCTAGCCTGCTTGGACGGAGCTCGACAAGCCGCTCGACGTGAGATGAGTCAAGCTCGAGCTCGGCTCGAACAATCCCGGCTTGAGCTCTACTTAACTTGTTTGCACCTCTACTAAATAGACTCCACCCCTACTGTTCTGTCAATTAAATAGTCACAGCGCCAGTCTCAGCTTTATTTGAATCGTGAGAAATATAAATACATATTGCTTACAATTACATAATACAAATCAAAAGATAAACTATCGAGATATCATCATGTCTCACACGGACCAACAAACAAGAGAACAAAATTATTTTTCCACCTGATTTCTCCTCCCACCAAAGAAGCAAGCAAAATAATTTTCAATTAAAGTCTGTCAATCAATTTCAGTACGTTTTCATTTCTTGCAAATCCTTTCCACCAAAGGAAACCTGCAGCTAATACTGAAAGTTTAAATTATTACAAAAGATCTGCAAGATATCTCTGTAATACTGTAAAGAAAAAAAAATGATATAATCAAACTACCAAAAAAGAAGTCATCTTTTCTCCATGCAAGGCTTCGAGTGCTTATTAATCCATAATTGTTTTAGGCAAAAACTGAGTCAATCTTTGTCGGCAGGAGCCAAATGCTGACTTGTAAACTTGTCGACTTTAGCTTCTGGATTAAAACGATGATCGTAGTACTCCACAGCTGCAGCTCCAGCTAGGGCAGCCAGCGTGAGTGCCTGGGCATGCAACCTGAATTTTCAAAACATTAGAACAAGTTCACTGACACTAAGGGGCTGTTTGGTAGCACTCCGGATTTGATTTAAGTAGGAGGGGCTTAAATCCTGAAAACTGTTTGGTAACATTCATGATAAATCCTCTTAAATCTCATGTGATTGTTTGGCTATAGAGCAGGATTTACCGAGCGGACTCTTCCTCTCTAGCGCTATGGATTTCATAAATCCGGCAAAATACAGGATTTCGGAAATCTAGGATTTAGAGCGAATCGGCGGAATTTTCCTTCTACAACGGATTTTGTTTGCCATGAAATTTGGTTTTGCATTTTAGGCCGTTTGGCTGGATTTCGCTCAAATCCGGCCTAAATCCTGCTACAAACAGCCCCTAAAGCAAATATTAGCACAATAGCAATAAATCGCCCACAATACCGTTTCTGCAACTCAGGGTTGAGAATTACAAAACATATAATACAACCATACTTTCAAGTTAACTGTTAATGATGCATATAGAAATAACCAAATGTCTAAATCGCTCATTCTCTTCAAGCATAAGCAAATCAGTGCATTCCTTGCAGTCGCATTTCAGAGGTAAAAATAATTCAGTCATACTTGATGGAATTAGTATCAGGTAAGCTACATAGCTACAATGTAAAGATATCATGCTAGTGTAAGACACCCTACCCTTGACCTGTCATAGTTTTAAGCATTTTGTTCTATCAACAATAAGAGAGAGTCTTTCAGGCCGAAGAACATTCACCAAGCCTTCTTATGCATAAATTGTGCCTGGTATAAATCCTAATCCATAATTAGGATAAAAGTTATGTTTTCATGATTTCATTGGTATTTGAGAAAGTTTCTTGGTTAAATTTCACCTCTTTTATGAATCGGCATGAACAAAATCAATACAAGCTTATTTCAGCGCATTGATTATAATTAATGCATGATATTTTATCTTCGTTAGCATTTAAGCGTCTGGCCTTCTACCACTAATCCACTGGTTCAATGATGCTGACATTAAGCTTGGTAATATTGTCAGCTTAATATATCTGGTCATGTATAACTTATCAATAAATAAATAGAATATGTAAGCCTCTACCATATATATTTAGGACAAATGTATATATATATATATATATATATATAGAGAGAGAGAGAGAGAGAGAGAGAGAGCGCACTGTCAATTTAAAATGACAGAATAACTTGTTCGAAAGCATCTATCACCATCACAAACTTTGAATGCTAAGAAGTAGAGTAACAAAAAAATTTAAAAAAATAACTATTTTTTATTTGTTAACTACTCGGAGTTTTAATCCTTCAAAATTTGTTATGCATGGTGAAAAAGGTGTAGGGATAATCAGCTTTATCCTTCTAAATGGATTATAGACTACCTCCTCTCTCTATATGTAGAGAGAGAATGTGTAATCATAGATACAATAAGATTTATGCATGTAATATATGATCATGCATGTATATGACAATATAATTATCAATTACATTTATTGCTACCATTATACAACACTATCATGAAAATTGATTTGTAATTGATTATCATATAATATACTTTTTTTTATAATTGACAGATTTTGATGTTGAGAATCATGCTTGTATATTATTTCATTGCTTTGAATTGATTAAATCTCATATAATATAATTTTCTATAGTTCATAGATTTTGATGTTGAGAATAACTGCAACGTGAATTCAATTAGGAGTTAGACATGCTTGTTTAATTTTTTCATTACTTTGAATGAAGTATGACTTTATGGTTTCTATATGCCCTTGATATTTCAAAAGCACTGTTTCTTTTAGGAGATGCAAAGGCTCTATAAAAACCTTCCATTGTCAATGAGTTGTGATAAAAAATTTTGGGGATTTAACTATAGCAAAAGGACACCGTTTTCCCTAAATATTAGCATTCTTATTTGTTCCCTATGAAGATTAATGTGTGGTACAACTAAAAAATATAAATTAAGAAATGATTATATTAGAGAAACAGTGGTATCTATCTAAGATAACTTAATTGAAAAATATACTTGAATTATTTGAATATTTACAACCAACGATAGAAAAACATACATTACTAGTCCCCTAAATTGGATTATAGACTACCTCCTCTCTCTATATGTAGAGAGAGAATGTGTAATCATAGATACAATTAGATTTATGCATGTAATATATGATCATGCATGTATATGACAATATAAGTATCAATTACATTTATTGCTACCATTATACAACACTTATCATGAAAAATGATTTGTAATTGATTATCATATAATATATATTTTTTTTATAATTGACAGATTTTGATGTTGAGAATCATGCTTGTATTTTATTCCATTGCCTTGAATTGATTAAATCTCATATAATATAATTTTCCATAGTTCATAGATTTTGATGTTGAGAATCACTGCAACGTGAATTCAATTAGGAGTTAGACATGCTTGTTTAATTTTTTCATTACTTTAAATGAAGTATGATTTTATGGTTTCTATCTACCCTTGATATTTCAATTTCTTTTAAGAGATACGAAGGCTCTATAAAAACGTTCCATTGTCAATGAATTGTGATAAAAAATTTTGGGGATTTAACTATAGCAAAAGGACACCGTTTTCCCTAAATATTAGTATTGTTATTTGTTCCCTATGAAGATGACTACGAAGTATAAATTAAGAAATGAGTATATTAGATTAACAGGGGTATCTATCTAAGATGACTTAATTGAAATATATACTTGAATTATTTGAATATTTACAAGCAACAATAGAAAAACATACATTACTAGTCCCCTAAATATTACTATTGTTATATGTTTCATAGGAAGATTATATTAAAGAAATATGAAGGATAAATTAATAATAATTATATAAAATAAATAATTGGAGTATTATCTATTGAAGATAAGATAATTGAAAAATAAACTTGAGTTATTTAAAAATTTACAACAAATGATGGAAAATGCACCCATTAAATGGGTAGATAAAATGTGCAGAAGGATAGGAAGAAGCAATAGATCTAAAATAACATAGATAGAAGTTGCTTTATAATGATTTGTGAAGAACATGTTTAACACTCAAGCATCATTGAATTAATGGAAAACAAGGATTTATAAAGCCTAAAATATGGTATTTTTAAATTTGACAATGTGTTAACACTTGACCAAGAGGCATATAGACCAAAACTAGGTAAGAAATATATCCTTTTGGAGGGAAAATTATAACATGGATTCTATAACTGTAATAAGATAGCTTTCTTGAACGATTACTTACAATAAGAGCATATATGTAACTAATGGTGTTCCTGGTATGCCTAGGTAAATTATGGTGTTCATATTACACTATAACGAACAATTAAGAATTTCTATCAAGTTGGTTATCAGAGTATTCACAATCCATAAAATTCCATCTTACGAGTGAGTTTCATATGATCACAAAAAAGTGATGGATACTTATATAAAAAGAAAATGTTTGAAATCAAAAGAGATGAATGAATTAACATCATGAATTCTATGATGGGCAATATGCAATCCTAAAAGGTTTGGACCCTAAAAGATTGCCTGTCGTAGATCACAAGTTGTTGTGGATCCAAAAGAGGAAAGAGGGATGGATGGAAAGGTGACATTTATTGAAAGCATAACTTGATGATGATATAAGAGTGCAAGCTTCTTCTAATTATCTGGAAATGCCATGTAAAAAGTATGACTTTCCCTTCCTCTATCCTTCACATTTCTCAGTTTTTTTTTTTTTGTCTCATTCTCATTTTCTCTTTGATTTTAAGTTTTGTAAATATTACATGTTGTAGATAACTGAATCTTGTAAGGGATCTAATGAAAAATAACAATGTCAGCTTGAGTGATGTCTCTTTGAAGCTGATCAAAGAACTTTGCTTTGACAATGATCCCTAAACTTTGCTTCTCTCATATAAAGAAGTTTTTGCAAGAGTACTGTTACATTATTCTGCCGACAGCCCAAAAAAGTTAAATTTTTGGCACCCTGAGTTTGAATAAGGATTGAGTGCACATGGAGCTATTAAGCTCTCTCTCTCTCTCTCTCTCAATCGTTCTCCTAGTGCTAATATCTCAAGACTTTTTTGGGCTATGGGTGGGCCAACATAGCTTTTTTCTTATCATATATACAAAGTTTGATCAGGTGATTGGTTACAAACTATAACTTTGTCATCCCCAGGTGTTGTAGATTTTATATATATAAAGTTTGATCAGGTGATGGTTACATATTCCAACAGATTTTGCAAATTTTTAGGTCAACAATTTGGGGAATTTATGCAAGAAAAAGAATATAAAAAATTTGTAAACTAATTTCCATATAACACTCCACCAACTACTTAGTTGAGTGGTATTGCGTTAGATCTCTAATCCTTGCACAAAAAATCTGTAAGTCCTTACAACTTCCAGCATTATGTCCTTGCTGTAAATTTCTGTTTCATTACAAGCTTACTCTTTTTGGTCACATAACACCATTCTCTCATCTCAAATGATTTCCCAGGTTATGGATCTTTAAAACTTCCAAATCTAGATAGACCCTTCCCGCATCAAGAGCAAGCACATGAGAATTTACATCCAACGTCTACCTAAAATTTTTCAAACTCCAATTCTAATGACTAGAAATATTTCACCCAAAAACATACAAACCCTAACAAACAGTGGAAAAAAATCTCAGAAAATGAGCATTGTAGAGAAAATCAAATACAAAGATAAATTACCGCATACCTGGCGTGGATGATCTTAACGCTAGTTTTCATACTGGGCCGAGACCAATTATAAGCGATCGAACTCCCAATCCCGGTCAGCCAAAGGCAACCTTTTAACCCGCAAACAAGCCATAATCCAACCAAAAATCAATCAGAACCACACCAAATACCAAGGCCAAGAAAAAAACCAAACTAAAACAAAAAAAACAAAACAAATAAAATCCAAATATTACCAACTGTTCGTAACTTGTGATCCGCGATCCACTTCCTCATCGACGCCATCTTGCTCGATTCCTGCGCCATTTCAGAAATTTCTCTACCCAACTGCTTGCAGAGACCCAAAAAAAGGAGAGCTTTAGGACGACGAAAGCAGGAGACGGGCAGGTTCTCATAACTCTCCATTTATAGACACGGCGAGCCGCTTGCAGACCGAAAAATGTAAAGAACATTCATACGTGCGAACGTACGTACGTTCAATTGGCACGTGTTGCGCCGTTGCGCGTCATAGTGAAGCAGCGTGTTTGATTTGTACACGATAGCAATAGTGGTGGCCGTCGCCCACAGATTTGGGCGGTCTGTGTTGACGGACTCAACAGCTCACTTTAGTCGAAACCCTAACTTTTAACCAAATTTTTTAGGGCTGCAAAGAGTCGAGTTGAGTATGTGCATATTTATATTAAAGTTTATTTATTATCAGCTTGTTTAAATTATATTCGAGCTTGATTCAAGTTTTTTTTTTTATTTGTGTGCAAATTTAGTTCATTTAAATTAATGGATGTTCATGTTTGTTTTATGTTCGATTTGTTTTATGATTGTCGAGTTTTAAAAATATGAGCTTTATCAAGCTATGAACAAGCTCTACTTCTAGATGTTCATTAACTTAACAAACGAGCCTTATCGAGCCTTCTAATAAACAATTACATCCAATATGTTAGCGAACATATCTTGCAAAGTTTTTTAAACTATCAAACAAGCTCGTTTACAAATATATCTAATGAGTATTCTTGAGATATCAAATTAGCTCATTCATGAACATATCTAATAAGTATTTTCGAGCTGCCAAATGAGCTAGTTCAAGAACAAATGATCTTTGATTCATCTTATATTTGTTTATGAACATTTCAAACAAATAATCTAGCAAATATGAACAAATGTCTCTTGTTCATGAACAAATTCATTCTATTAAAAATATAAAATAAATTGAAAGCTTATTATCAAGTTTAATGTTGAGCTTATTCACTCATGAATTTGTATTTCATCTTAATAACGCTTAAGTCTCTTAATTTCTCATTCAGCATCACAACTCTCCTCAAGTGTACTTCACTGACACATTGCCATGATATTTAATATTATTAAACTCAAGTAATTATCACATGTTTTTTATGACAATTATCATGGGATATTTGGGAATTTTACATATGAACAAGTAGCACCACAAATGTTGCCACAAGTAGAGAATGTTAGCTCTCTAATGTACCTCAATGGCTTAATCAATTCACCCAATTAGTTCAATAGGGAATGTCAAACATAAGCATATTTAAAGCATCACTATGCTCAATCAAGTCATAATGATTTGGCTCGTGCTCTAAGTACACCACTATAAAAAGGCATAGACTCATTGCAAGGGACTTTTGGTCGCCATGATTCATTATGTTGGTCATCAACTTCTTCATATCATTTTCTTTTAGATTTAAAGTTTCTTTCGACTTCGATCATCTTTATTGTTTTACTACATTTAAAAATACATGAAAAATTAGTCACAGACACACACACTCATTCTCTCTTTCCCCTTAAGATTGTCATGTAAATCTTGTACTCGTTGTATTTTTAAAACTTTTGCCCTGAGATGGAGGTGGTTCAATTTTCTATCATGTTTCAGTATCAACTCTTATCTTAAAGTTCTCTCAATTCATATTCAGCATCAAACAATATGAAGGTGAATGCATGTCTAAAATTAATTAAACATCATCCCTTCTCTTATGGACAAAAATAACAAGGGAATTGATTTCTGGCATCAGGGAAACAAATAATTATTGATACCAAGACGCATTAGCATTTAAAACATTATGGAAAATAGCATCACAAACTATTGATCCCAAGACGCATTATGCATGAGCACTTGCTCATTTTACTTCGACTATTTAAGGCTTCATTTGGAATGGCTTTCTTACTGCTTCTTAAAACAGCTTCATAGTACAAAAATTAATTTTTTTTATATTTAAAAGCTGCTTTAAGAAGTAGTAAAAAAAAAGGCACAAACAAAGCCTAAGTCTTAATCATTGACATGCCACCTAAAAATTCATATAATCAAGCAAAAATTTCACACATTCCAAATCTCATAGCATCGAGTATCAAAGCAATAAATTTTGGGAATCGATTTAGTGATCATTCAAATTTCAATTTCAGCAATTTTATAGCAAATGCAAATGGTTCAACAACTTGAAAAACCAATGATAGATAGAATGTTTCAATTTGAGCCCAAATATTTCTTAAACAAACTATAAAAGCTTAATTAAAAGCCTCTCAAGATCACTTATGAGCTTTATATCATCCAATTTTTATGTACTTATAGTCTAAATTGGCAAGTCAATTATAGGAATCTGACAAGATCGGAATAACTTAACTTAGAGTTCAATAAGGCACAAAAGTGTCCAAATAAAATACAACATAGCCAAGATGGGCATTTTTTTAACTATTTGATGGTGTGTCCAAATGTTTGTGAGAAATGACCAAAATCTTTGTTCTATAAATCCACAAGTCATGTTTCCACGTAGTAGTAGAGAGAATTTCTTATGTTAGAGAATTCCAGGGCTCTATTGACCACCTCCTGACGCCAACTGCCACCCAACATCGACACCGGATATCCCAATGGCATGATACCATAAGCCACTAATATCTAATACACATCTTCTCAAACAACCTACTAATATTTGATGCACTTCTTCTCTGACAATCAGTCACGTATCTCAAAAGAAAAATCAATCACGTAATTCTACTAAATTAGTTTCTGGAGCATCATAGCTGCCCAAAAGATAGCTCTGATTATTGTTTATGAAAAGATAAATGAATAATTCTACCAAATTAAATTCTGGAGCATCATAGCTCAATCCCCCATTTTATTAGGAGAAGATCAAACATATATTTAAAATTTCTAGTAAACTGTTATCGGGAAGGCTTGTCATCCACCTCTTGTATGTCCAAGGCATGTGTGGTTCAATAGATTGTCTTGCGTTTGCGGTGGCATAAGCGATTTTGAATTATGTAATAGCTTTCAGATTATTACCTGCAAGTATTCAAAAACTAATCTGCTTGGTCTGCATGATAACATAATAGAATAATTCCTTTTATTATAAATATTTAAAATAGACTTCCTTTATAATCAGATAAAATGATGTTACAATTTTTCTTTGTAACATTATGTGAAAATGATTTAAATTTTCTAACAAAATCATACAAAATAAGCTAAAATATTTATTTGTTTGAATCATATGATTCATATCGTTGCATCACATCAAAAGAAAAATAATCTTTTTTAAAAAAAAATTTGTGCATTTTTATTGTTATCCAGGTGATTGTAATTTTTTATAAAAATGATTATAAAATTATTCTAGACAGGATTTTTTTAAAATTATTATAAAAATTAAAAAAAATGAGATAATAATTTTCATACAAAGTCACATTAATATTGATTATAAGAAATAACTTTTTATCACAAATTTTTAAAAAATAAAATAAAAATAATAAAATCAAATAAAAATGTGAAATCAATCTAAAAAACAGGGCATTGAAAACATTATCTAAAATTCCCTTCCAGTTCTGGAGTAATAATGTATCCTATCAACTATCCAAACACAAAATCAATTAAAAAAAAATTATTTAAGCTTCGTTTGGAACAACTTTTTTACTACTTTCTAAAGCAGCTTTCTAATAAAATTTTTCTTAAACTACAAACTTTTGTTCTAAAAAAGTGCTTCAGAAAACAGTAAAAAAGTTGTCTCAAATAAAGCCTTAATTTCTGAACTAAACAAACCACCAAATAGCATAATAAAATGTTGCAATCCAACACCTAATATCATTCCCAATACAATCTCCTTTTGTTTTTCCTCCAATACAATTCATTCAAATCAACCGAGCAACAAATATGACAGACCCAAAGTTAACAAATAAATGGGGCAGATTCTAAGCTTGAAAACCAAACAAACATGCAGATTCAAAAGAAAAAAAGAATCTTCTTGATACTCTACATTTGTCAAATTTACAGGCAGGCATAAAAAATAGCGTTTTGCCTCTTCTTTTCTCTTTTGTTGTCTCTCATTAACGGCAGAATGTAGTTTAAAAGCTTGATTCAATGATTGACATATATGGCAGCACAAAAATAAGATATAAATGCAAAAAAAAAATTGCTACCACTGACTAAAGGACGATCATCTCTACCCGATAGCTCGAGCGGTTTTGTCGATGAAATCTTCTGTTGAGACTGGCTAGAAGAGTTCCTCTGAGTTGAACTTGTTCCAAGCTTCCTGTTTTTACAGCAAGGGAATGCAGATTAGAGAATGGAGAAGAGGCTGAGAAACAAAATGATTCAGGGTTGACTCAGAAGTACAATGAAGGAATAGTTGAAACCAAATAGAATTAATGGAATGTTAGGAAATACTTGAAGATCTCAAGTAAAATCTAACGATTTTGACAAAAACAGTGAGAACGATCCACCAATCCAAATGAAAAACTAGAAAAACAATAGTTTTTATTGGGATAATCAAACTAACAGAAGGAAAATAACAAGATACAATTGATCCTCTATTCAAGAGGATGATTTATCTCTCCCAAATCTCTAGACGCCGCTAGAGCCCAAAAAACCTAAGAGATCTCAAATTTCAGGTAAATTCAAGATGATCTAACCTTAGAAAAACAAACTATTTAATGCATACAATCCAAAAGAAAATTCCTAAACAGCCCCTACATTCAAATTTCCCTCCTAAACTTCTCTTAAAACCTTCCTAATATGCTCTTTTGGAAGGGGCGGCTTGTGCGGCTCATACAGGAGGCAGAGAGGTTCCGCCTCTGTTCCGCAAGAGCCAGTCCCATGTGGACCGGCTGGGCCAGCCAAACATGGAAACAGACACCAAGCTAGCAAAACTTACCTTACAGTTAAGGCCGCACGAAACTATTCATACATAGAACCTTCCCTCGCCTTCCCAGCAACTACATGAGCTTCTTTCATAGAAGCTAGCAAGTGTTTATACACAACATTTAGTGGTGGAAATACAGCTGGAGGTGGCTCTTGTCACCCGCTTTTTTAAAGAAAAAAAAAATAGTATGTATAATATAAAAGTTTTACCTTTAAATCTGTCAAAGGATATGAAAACTATAGAAGCTTCCCGCTCGCTATAAAAATATCTTCTTTATCACTAACGCACATTTCTAATCACTAAAAGATTATGATTAAATAGAAGATGGTCTGAAAAAAACAAGCGATGAAGATAATCAATTGCAGGCAGTGAGAATGTAATTTGTGATACAAAGAGTAAGTGTTCATTTAGGCCGGCTGCAGATTTTTTATTAAGTTGGTTATAAAATTGCTGTGGATATAATAATTTTTTTTAAAGTTGGTATAGAAGACAGCTTCTTAGAAAAATAAATTTCTGAAAGTAGTGAAATGGGAAATAATGATTGGGATCTGAAAAACAAAGCAATAAAAAATCTGTCTCAAATGAAACCGAAATGCTTGGAATTTCATTTCATTAAAAGGAAAAAAGAAAAAGGATTAAAACGTTTGAATCAATGGTCACACCTTGACCATCAATAGATTGTCCGGATTTCATTTTATTTCATTTACTTTTAGGATTAAAAAGCTCATAATGTACCTAGATGTTCTTTCTTCAAGAAACAGTACTCGAGCCATGCAAGTAATGATGCAATCAATATTTACTTATTTAGACATGTTTGTATGTGAATGATGACCAACAAAAAAAAGAAAGAAAAGGTAAAGGGACATCGAGTCTTGAAAGTAGAGAAAGGTTCCATAAACGAAGCACTGAAGTAAAATGCAAACTGATAACACTTTCAACCTCATACTATCAATGAAACTATTTTTGGAACAGTATAAAGAATCTTTCTTGTCTTTAAGAATTACGAAGAAATATATGAACTATAATATTTGATATGTATATGATGTTAAAGACAAGGTTTCTCATGGGCGTGTTGATTTAAATGTCATTCCCTGTGATATTACTCCAGAATATATCATGCTAATATGACTTGAGGATTCTGTGTTGCCGGTTACGAACTATAGTATCATGAAACTAAAATTCCACTCAAGGTCCTTTCCATTATTAGATTAGATTCTGTCAAGTTCTGTATATGGTAAATTGCTAGTTTGTTTAAAAATATTTTAACCACTTCATTGTCCCATTAAGGTATGCTATATTATAGACAGGAATCTTGAAAAAGCTTCGATCAGCCAGCATTAAACTAATGCAAGAAGAATATTCTTGCTACCAAGCATACATACATATATATATATATATATATATATATATATATATGATTTTGAATAAAACATCTACTATTCAAAAATAACTTCTAATCAAATTGTTCTATTATCTAATGTTTTTTATAAATGTTTCAAATGAATCAAACAAGAGATTAAGAGTTGGAGCCACACCAAATCCAAACTAATTAGCCTCTACTTATGTTACATTTCTATAACCCTAATACTTGCACAAGCATCCCTCAATCACAATTTGCAGCTCCTACATATTAATGTGATAAGTGCCCATGACATAAATAAGCCATGCTACTATCCTTCTCTCGCTACCCTCATCAACCAACTCTTTACAATCTTATGATCTTTGGTTCCCACCAAGCCCCTCCACATGTCTCGAGCAAGAGCTCTCTCGCTCGTCACTGAATTGCTCTTGCTCTCACTCTAATTGTCCCTCTCACGCAACTCCTTGATTCTTCTCCCCTATGCGCTCCTTGATTCTTCTCCCCTGTGCCTCCTATTGTCTTCACACTTGTACCACTTTGCCCTCAAAACTCTCTTGCACATGACTCATGCCCTGCTTCCCATTCTCTTTGCACCTGCAACCTCTCCCAAGCATCTCTCCTTTGTTGCTCGCCACATTTCCTACCTACAAAAGCCTCTCAGCAACCAATGTCATGTGGGTTCATCCTCTACTTATGCTCCCAATGACTAATGCCCTTCCCGCTTGTCCTCTACTCCTTCAATTGACCCACCACCCCTTTGATCCCATGTTCCTCCACTCTTGCGAACTTGTCCTCAACTCTAGCATCCTCTTTCTGCCCTCTCTTGAGCCCTAAAAATAGAAAACCAGTTGCAACTTCATATGAACTTACCTCATGAACCGCTCTCGATCTCCCTCTCATTGCACTGACAATAAGGCTCCCTTGACCTCCCTCACATTCTACAAATGGTCCCTCACTGCACGGATACTCTGTAAACTTTTAATTTGTCAACATAACCCCAACACAAACTTTCAATTATGCACGACATCAGCTACACCAATGTATAATATCCTCGAGCATCAACTCTCTCCCTCTATCCCTCAAGCCTCCGAGACATAAATCATGTTGCATACTACACGGCATCCATCAAGGTGTATCGCACAGCATTTCCTATAGTGCAAGCATATCACCGACTAGAGCACATCTCTTAACCTTCTTGATATAAGAAGCTAATAAAAAAATTAAGATTAGATATTGTCTATTAACAAACTTAATTAATCTCTATGGAACTCAACAACATAAATCATGTTGTACCTAATATAAAAGCTATCGATGTGTGTCTTATAGCATAAAGTCATAGTTTGAAATCCACATTGGTATGTACCGGGGCATGTCCCGTAGCCTTCTTAACTTATAAAATCCTTCAAAAATCAAGAGGTAATGTTGCCTAATTATGATCCCAATTTCTTGATTACATAAGGCACTTCAAAATATCTGTTAAATCAGTTAAAGTTTCGCATAATAACATGATTTAGAATTAAGATTCTGATAAATTAGTTAATTGAAATGAGTTCAAATACTTGGTTAATAAAAAAATTATAGCTAAAGATAAAGTAATTAAACAAAATATGAACAAGTAGTTCAATGAAACAAATAAATAATTAATAACATTAAATTTAAAATAGAAGCCAAGGGTGAGAAAATCTTAGCAATAAATCTACGAAAAAAAAAAATCAAACTCTAGATCAAATTAAGAATCCAAGATGGAATATATTTGACATGTGTAAGGACATCAATATCGATGCTAATGGTATAATAATCATACTTGCAAACTAAAAAGTGTGCAAATATATATATATATATATATATATATATATATTGAATAGCCCTTGCAGCTGAGTGATACCCTAGTTAGAGATAACTGGAGGCATATGTTAAGGATTCAAGGATTGTAGCAGCGATACAAGCAAGGGTTCCAACAGATTGGTGGCGTTTCTTCGCATTTCTACCTCTCCAATTTTGATAGAATACACAACAATATATTCTCACCCAAGAAATTTTAGAGTCGACAAATGAGAGAGAGCCACCCGGAGATCATCAAGGCTAGTGAGATGTGGTAATTGGAAACTCCACTTTGCAAGAGCTTGGAAAATTGCTTTCAAACCTGAACTGTGAACAGCAATATAAGCTATATTCTCTTCAGCATTGCAGCCCCACGGACATTTATCAGATTCTAATAGACCACTTTCAGACAGCCAACCATTAGAAGGTTATGCGTTCATCCACATATGCCAACAGAAGAATTAGGCACATGGGCTAGCCCTCTTCCAATAGATGAGTTTATGCAAACCTTGAAAGCACTTATACCACACTCATATACATTTTTATATTAATATGCTCAACAAACCTAAGATGAGTCAACTCATGATTATTAATCATGCTTCTTGGACTTTACATCCCATGGCCTTCTAATGTGATGGGGACATCAGATTTCGACACGTGTATCGTCGCCGGCGACGTAAATCGACGGCCACGATCCAGAGCCTCTATTTCTGATTTTATTTACAGTTTTATTTCCTATGTATTTTAGCTTTTCGAATTTGCACCTGAGGACATTGTTTTGCTTATGTAGCCCCAAGGGCATTTCTGTCTTTTCAGCTTTTATTTTAGGCCTTCTTATATGAGGCATCATGTATTGTAAGAAATTAGTTTTTGAAATAAAATGAAATTTTCCCCTTTGTTCTCTTTGTGAGTTCATCCCAAGATCTCTTCGTGAGTTCGCCGGAGAAAATTAGATCTCTTCGTGAGTTCTAGTTTTCATGCTAGCTAATATCGAGAAAATCGACGTTGGATACAAGAGAGGTTAGTGAGCTCGTGGTCATTGAATCCCAAGAAGCTCTCAATTTTTTTCCCTTACTGTTGCCGCCGACTCCTCCAAAAGCCAAGCCGCCGGCCACAGCATCACCCCTCCCCTCTTCGTGAGTTCTAGTTTTCATGCTAAGCTAATATCGAGAAAATCGACGTTGGATACAAGAGAGGTTAGTGTGCTCGT